CTGTGATCGATTATACATGAGCTGAGTCAAGGTCAAACTCTGCCAGGACCTTCACCCCACAAGGGCAGGGAGGGTGGGGCTGGTCCTGGGCTGGGACACAGCCAAAGGGCATGAATCACAATGAGACTGCAGTCACCAAAGAACATGAGTCAGCAGGGGAGTGGTGCAGCCTCCTGCAAGGATGCAGTTGACTTGAAAGCACCGACTGCAAGGAAATACCTGAAGTTTTCATAAATTTTGTTTCTTAAGGGAAAAGATAATTTATAGATATGAAGGATCCTCAAAATGTAATAGAAATAGGCTTTACTGTCATTTGATCTGGAAGTACGTCAATGATCTGTGTTTTACTGAGGAGTCACCAGCCTCTTTGAACCTCAGTTTACTCTGCGGCCACCTAATTAAGTTGCTTATGTAAAAATCACCAATAATGGTGTACATTGGAGAAAAGCAGAGTAGAGATGGAATAATATCAGATTTTTTTGTCATCAATCTCACTGCTCACCTGAAAATATCTCATTGAGAACTGGTCTCTCTCTTGGTCTTTGCATGCCTTGAACACAGCTTTTATTTATTAGAATAAGTTCACTAATTCTTAGGTTTCCAGGTTCCATTAGTAACTGTGGATGAAAACTTCTCTGCAGGAGACATGCTATGTCTTCACAAAGGCACTGTGGGGAAGAGTTCTCTACTTAGTCCTTTAAATCCTCATATAGTATAATCAAAGGGTCTTTGAAATAGTGTGACATCTATTTTACTGAGATATCAGAACTCATATCCATTGAGCAATATTTTTTATCTTCAAATAATGCAGTGTACTGGGTCATCTTACTATATAGGGAGTGTTGACTCAGTATCTTGACTATAGACTTAAAAGTCAGAGAAGCCAGCCACACCAAGTGAAAAGAGCAGAGAAAACTTACCAGGGTCTAACCTGGTACAGAGCACCAAAATACTGGGGGAAAATTTGACAGAATCAATGTTTTCAGAAATAACCAAGGGATTATAGGAACAAAGCAAGTGCTGAATAAAAAAAAAAATTAAGTCCTGTGGTAGGAAAGTCCCGTGGCAGTATTGTTTTTGCTTAACTCAACCCTTTCCTGGTGTAGGGTCATTCTTAAAGATGGCATCCCTCCTTCCTAGTGTGGGATCTGATTCTGGGTCCAGAGAGAGCAGAACAAATTTCACCCACAGAGTTTATTTGTCTGTTCTAGTCTGTCCAGGGTGACCTGAAGAAAGGCTGCAAGCCACTAGCCTTTGTTTCACCTAACTAGGAACTTAGGATGGAAAACTAGTGAGCATTCTTTGAGAACATTATACAACAAATGAAAAACACACAGATTCCTGGAGTGAAAGATTACAGTTGAAATGAACAATAGACTAACTGAAAATCTGTGAGAAAAATCTGGGGAAAGCATTCTTTGGTGAATTAAGGTACTGAAAAGTGTCTGTGTACACTGAGGGTTGGAGAGAATGCTCATGTCTGTGCAGAGGATGCAGGCTCAGATAAGACCTTAAAAGACTCCAAGCTTCCACCTGCAGTTTATCACTAGGCATGATGCAAGCAGAATGTGAAGTCAGAAGTAGAACTGTAAAAAGCTGGCCAAGCGCCGGCTGATGGAGTGCCCCAAACAAAGCCAACTCACAAAGACTGGAGGATCTTTATCCTTTTTCTTTTTTACTCTTTCTTTGCTTCTTCTTTCCTTCTTTATTTTCTCCTCCTCCCTCCCTCCCTTCCTTCTTTCTATCCTTCCTTGCTTCCTTTCTTTTCCTGGTACTGAATGAAATTTCTGTCAAAACACTAGCTAGACATGTAAAGGAATAGAGACTTCCCAGATCACATATGACAAAGACAGACTTTACAAAATCAGTTTGGAAGATTCACTAAACAAGCATACAGCCCACAGAAAGCAAAGCAAACTGAAGCAAAACAACAATAGCAAAGCTCCCAAGCCCTTAGGAAGGGGAAGAATGTGATTTTCAGAGTTACCATATTATAATATTCAAAATGTCCAGTTTTCCATCAAAATCAGGCAGCAGGTTGAAAGAACAAGAAGATATGATCCAGTTACAAAGCAATAATAGAAACTGTTCCTGAGGAAACACAGACATTGGACTTACTAAGCAAAAACTTTAAATCAATTACTTTAAATATCCTCAGAGAGAAGAGAAAAAATAAGGACAAAAATAAATGATAAAGTAGAAAATATCAGTAGAGATATAAATTATATATAAAAGAGAACAAAATAGAAATTCTGGAGCTGAAGTTTATTAATACAATGTGATCAGTCACTCAGTCATATCTGACTCTCTGCAGCCCCATTGACTGCAGCCCACCAGGCTCCTCCGTCCATGGGATTTCCCAGGAAGGAATACTGCAGCGGGTTGTCATTTCCTCCTCCAGGGGATCTTCCCTACCTGGGGATTGCACCCATGTTTCTTGTGTCTCCTGACTTGGCAGGCAGGTTCTTTACCACTAGCACCACCCAAGAAGCCCCCAAATTACAATATCTAAAAAAAAAAAAAAAGAAAGCACCAATAGAGATTTTTGACAGAATATTTGAGCAGGCAGAAGAAAGAATCCAGAACCTGAGATAGATCTATTAGATGATCCAGTCCAAGGAACTGAAAGAAAAAGAATGAGAAAAATTAACAGAGTCTATGAGACCTATGAAACACTAACAAGAATATGAACGTATTCATAACTGCAGTCCTAGAAGGAGAGGAAAAAGATAACTGGGCAATAAGAATATTTGAAGAACTCAAGAACTCACACATTTTACAAATGCATGAAATTACACATCAAAAAATCTCAATGAATTCTAATAAGGATGAAGACAAAGAGACACTTACTGAGACATATGATCGATTTGTCAAAAGACAAAGAGAATTTTGAAAGCAGTAAGAGAGATATAACTCATATACAAGAGATTTCCAATAGGATCAACAGGCAATTTCTCATCAGAAACCACTGAGGCTTGAAGAAAGTGGCATTTTTGAAGAGCTAAAAGGAAAAAAAAAAAAACCTGTCAACCAAAGATTTTATATCCATCAAAATTCTTTAAAAATGAAGGAAAAAAGAGACAGTCTCAGATAAATAAAAGCTGAGGGAGTTCGTCATTTGTAGACTTACCCTATGAGTAATGCTAAAAGGAGTCAGGCCATCACCTTGAAGTGAAATATGACAATAAACAGTAACTCAAACCTATATGAAGAAATAAAGAGCTCTGCTATACAGATAACTGCAAAATATAAAACCAACATTGTTGATTTTTTGGCTTCTAATTCCTCATTCTGTTATCTATATGATTTAAAGAAACAAGTGCATCAAATAACTGTACGTCTATGTTAATGGGTATGTAATGCATAAAGATATAGTTTGTGGCAATAACAACATAATGGGAAACTAGATTTGTATAGGAAAAAATTTTTATATATTGTTGAAGCTAACTTGGTATCAATTCAGACTGCTGCTGTTGCTGCTAAGTCGCTTCAGTTGTGTCCGACTCTGCGTGATCCCATAGACGGCAGCCAACCAGTCTCCTCCATCCATGGGATTTTCCAGGCAAGAGTACTGGAGTGGGGTGCCATCACATTGTTATAAATTTAGGATATTAAAGGAAACCCCATGAGAAACTCTAGGAAAATATCTGAAGATAATTCAAGAAAAGCATATGAAAAGGGAATCAAAATAGTGCAATACATACACTCACACACACAACAAAACAATTAGACACAAAAGAAGAAAGTACTGTAGGAAATGGAAAACATGAGGGGCATAAGATATATAGAAAACAAATAGTGAAATGGCAGAAACATTGATAAGTTTTTCCTTATCAGTAATTCATTTATATGTAAGTGAAATAGACAACCCTTCAAAAAAACAAACAAGCAAACAAATACAGTTGCTCAATGTATGAAAAGGTGCTCATCTTCATTAAAATTAGAAAAGTGAAGATCAAAACCACACTGTGATATCACTTTGTTGCCAAAAGTGGGGGTCCAGCTGCTCACCACTCAAAAACCAAAGAAGAGACAAGTTGGTGGAAAAGAAAGTTTGCTTTTTAGGTTGGATGCTGACAACTGGGATAGTGGGGTGGACTGCTGTCCAAGGAGAGATTCCCTCTCCCCCTGACCTGCTGACCTGCCAATGACAATCCATGGGCAAGAGCTTTTATAGATGGAGGGAGGGGGCTCCATGCAGAAACAGCACAGTCACCTCTGAAGGTCATCTTGAAATTGGTCATCAGTGGTCTGAAAAGCATCATCTTGATTGCTTCAGGTACAGTTTTCCGTTCCAGGGTTGGATCAGTTTGTTCCCGTTTATTTGGGTCAATTCTCATAACTGTAGCAGCTTATGTCATGGCTACAGTGTGGTCATCATATAGTTAGCTTCTTCCACTTGTTGGGGAGAGGTTTTAGTCTCCATAAGACTGCTCACAGGATATGGCTCAGAATATTATCTATGTCCCATGAAGAGGCACCAAATGTTTGCTTAATGACTGAACTATTATTATTTAGTCTTCTTAGACTGTTTTCTTTTGTTTCTGCATTTTCTCACTTCTCTGATTAAACTTATTCTTTGGCTAATGTTTTTCTACAGACAAAAGGCAGGCAGAGGATGGGAGGACAAGGACAAGAGTATTCTCTTCTGTTTCAACTTCACACTTACTAGTGTTCGCCACTCAGTCATGTCTAAATGTTTCCAGTCCTGTGGACTATAGTCCATCTGGAATTCTCCGGGCAAGAATACTAGAGTGGGTTGCCATTCCCTTCTCCAGGGGATCTTCCTGACCCCAGGATCAAACTCAGATCTTCTGCATTGCAGGCAGATTCTTCACTGTCTGAGCCACCAGGAAAGCCCTCTTACACCCACTGGATAGCTTTTATTATTGTTACTATTTTTTTAAAAAACAAGTTTTGTAAAGATGTGGGCAAAATGAAACCCTCATAAATTCTTGGATTGTAAAATGATATAGCTCTCGAAAACACATTGGTGTTACCTTACAATGTTAAACAGAATTTGCATAGCTCTACTTTTAGGTATGTACCCTGAAGAATTGAAAACAGATACTCAAACAAATATTTATACACATTTGTTTATAACAGCACATTTCCAGTAGCCCAAATGTGGAAATATTCTAATATCCATCAGTGGATTAATGGATAGACAAAATACACATAGACAGATGGAAGAGGAAATGGCAATCTACTCCACGATTCTTGCCTGGAAAATCCCATGGACAGAGGAGCCTGATGGACTATAGTCCCATGGGGTCACAAGGAGTTGGACACCACTGAGCATACATTAAGAATTAAGAAACATGCAATAGAATACCAGTCAGCTATAAAGATGGTGGGAGGGCCCATACATTCTACAGTGTGGAAGGACATTTAAAATACTATGCTAAATGATAGAAGTCAGATACAGAAGGCCAGGTGCTATATGATCTCATTTTATGAAACACCTCAAACAGGCAAATTCAGAGGAGAAAGTAGACTGGTGGCTGCCAGGGGCTGAAAGAGGGGGAATGGAATGATTGCTTAGTTGGCCTGTGGTTTTCTTTGAGGCTGACAAGAACACTGAAACTAAATAGAGTGGTGTTTACACCATATGGTGAATGTAACAAATGCCACTGAACAGTTTTTCAAAAGTTATATGAGCAATAAATATTGGACTTGTCATCTGGTCCATGGAAATTTTATAAGGGTGAATATTCATTCTAATTTGCAGTGGCCTTTTCTTATGCAGCATCTTTTCCCCTTTGTGAAATCTTTGAGTTGTGTTCCAGAAAACCTTGAGCTGCCTGAGTGGAAACTGGTTAATCTTGACTGATCCAAGGATACAATGGCTCATGCACGTTCTGATTTTCCTGACCCTCCAAGCCCAAGGTCTCTGTTTATTATTTAAAGAGAAGATTTGTATTACATACTGTGCCTGCAGTTTTCTGTAATGCGTCAGCGCCCTCTTGGTGGGCAGTTAAACTTGTCAAAAATTGGTTGTTAGAAAACGCCACCAAGGAGGACTTTATTGCTAATGATGGCCTTTTATTTTTTCATGACATATAATAATCTACTTCTAAACAGACTGGAGGTGACTTTCAATACAAACACAAATCAATCATGGCCACCAGAATTAATTAAACAAAATGACTACTCTGTTTTGCTCTAAGGGAATTAATCTATCATATATTTCACATGGCTCTGGTCCACTTGCCCATACTTCTTCTTTTCTTCCATTCCCCTCATATCAGTTTTGTTTTTGTTATTAACATATCTGTTTTGACATTGTACTTATTATTTTTTTATATTTTATCTATTTATTTATTTTAATTGGAGGCGAATTACTTTACAATATTGCACTGGTTTTTTAATTCTTCCTTTCAAACTGCTTTCTGTACCCATACGTGCTTTGATTTACACTTCCATGTAACCACGGGCTGGGGTGCTCAAGTCATGGCGTCGCAAAGAGTCAGGCATGACTGACTGCACTGAACTGACTGAGGTAACCAAGGTCACCCTCATCCTCTGCAAGCCTTGATTCTCTGCTCCTCACGCGTCTGCCACCAAGAAAAGGGCTGGGTATGGATGTAACTCCATTTCTTCACTTCTATTCAAGAGCCATCACTCAGACTACAAACCAGGTCTCAGGTTGGTTGATCTGCCAGATTTCAGGTAACTTGTGGCTCTGCCTAATGAAAAAGAGCACATCTGTACATTAAAGATGAATATATAAGTTCACATTGTGCCACCTGCCACACCCCTTGATCATAAATAGTGTGGTGGAGGGGGTGTGCCCTGATCTTACTCTTCAGTGAGACTCGATCCATGCTGACTGAGGGAGAGGAGCAGGGGGAGATGCAGCTGGTTTCAGAGGCCTGGGGTCCCCAGCAGGGCCATTTGCAAGGCATACAGAAGTCACCAAGAAATGAAGATGAGAAGGGAGAATTTAAAATTAATTTTATCGTGTCATATTGGGGCTTCCCTGGTAATTCAGCTGGTAAAGAATCTGCCTGCAATGTGGGAAACCCGTTCGATTCCTGGGTTGGAAAGATCCTATGGAAAAAGGATAGGCTACCCACTCCAATATTCTGGCCTGGAGAATTCCATGGACTGTATAGTCCATGGGGTCGCAAAGAGTCAGACTGAGTGACTTTCACTTTCACTTTTTTTCATATGAAAGCAATGGAAAATTGAAAATAATTTGCTAACTCTTGGTGAATAGAAAATTCATCAAATAACTAGGATCTTCAACCACAGCAATGGTCAAATAGGAAATCAGGATGAATCATACTCATATCTCTGGGAGCTACTCAAACTATAAGGTTCTTATGTATGAATAAGGGGCTTCCCAGGTGGTGCTAGTGGTAAAGAAAAAAAGTGAAAGTGAAAGAGAAGTCCCTCCGTCGTGTCCAAGTCTTTGCCACCCCATGGACTGTAGCCTACCAGAATCCTCCGTCCATGGGATTTTCCAGGCAAGAGTACCGGGGTGGTTTGCCATGAACCCACCTGCTAATGAAGGAGACAGAGAGATGCAGGTTCCACACCTGGGTAGGGCAAGTCCCCTGGAGGAGGCCATGGCAACCTACTCCAGTATTCTTGCCTGGAGAATCGTATGGACAGAGGAGGCTGGTGGGCTACAGTCCATAAGATTGCAGAAAGTTGGACACACCTGAGGTATGACTAAACCAAAAAATATATGTGCAAATTATTTATGGAAAAATGGCTCAAAAATATAAAATAAACTGTGAATGAAAGGAGAGATAGAACTATGTTTGTGATGGTAGAAGTCTATATTATAAAGATGAGACTTCTCCACAAGGTGAAGTGAAATGCAGGTTATCTTGCCTGACATATTGATGGACATAAACTACTCACAAATAGTAATTTTATAGATGAATTAAAAAATAGTTTAAAGCAACCACGTTAACTTTAAACAGTTTTATGAAAGTAAGTATTACTCAGTCGTGTCTGACTCATTGTGACCCCATGGAGTATATAGCCCACCAGGCTCCTCTGTCCATGGGATTTTCCAGGCAAGAATACTGGAGTAGGTTGCCATTTCCTTCTCCAGGAAATATACATATTAATGAAAATAATTTCATTGTAAGTAAAATGTAATATTACATACATTTAGACATAAATACTTATAGTAACAACATATGTGTGTTTCCACACTACGTCAGTGAAAATAATTATTGGATTTTGGGCAAAATTGTGGAAAAATTTAAGAAGACTTGCTCCTCTACCTCAGGTTTCTATAAGCAAAAAAAAAATGAAATCAGGAATGTGAAAAATGGAACTTCAAGTATTACTTAATCAAGTTCAGCACTGTTGGCATTTTCACCACTTAAAGTATGGTGATTACATAACATATTGTCAACAAAAATAGAAATAAAATCTATAGCTTTTTAAAATGTTTGTTGTATAAGATTTCTCCAAAGGTACGGGGGCTTCCCAGGTGGCACTAGTGGTAAAGAACTTGCCTGCCAACCCAGGAGACATAAGAGACTCAGATTCAGCCCCTGGATCAGGAAGAGCCCCTGGAGGAGGACATGGCAACCCACTCCAGTATTCTTGCCTGGAGAAACCTACGGACAGAGGAGCCTGGCGGGCTACAGCCCACAGGATCTTACAGAGTAAGACACGATTGAAGAGGCCTAGCACGGGCGTGTGTGCACACACACATGCACAAATAGTGGGATAGGTCTTTAAAGATAGTGTCCTTCAAAGAAACCACAGGAAAATCTGGAAAGGAAAGCCTCGTTGGGAAGTTAAAATGTACTGAAAGGAGGCTTTTTACTAAGGAAGGAATTTATAAGGCTCTGAAACAAAGTTGAGTGACTAAAGAAAATTGCAGTGAAAGAGGAAATGATTGCAGGACTACAATGAGAAAAGATAGATAAATAAAGTTTACCTTGGGTGCCAAAGTCTAGAGACCACAGGATTATGTTGGGTAAGTGTAGGAGGCAGCGCAGTGTCAAGATAATCACAGAAACTGTCTTTTAGAAAATTTGTGTCCTAATCCTCCTTCCACACCTGGTCTCTGAAAATGCAGACAATCACTCACATTCCCATTTCTCTAGCTTGACAGCATGCAAAATGAGGTCAGCAGTGCTTGTCATGTCCTGAGGTACAAAATTATTACGGAGGTTAATATTTTACAGGTGATTTTAGGCTAGTAAGTTAGTCTTAATGATTTTTAAATAATATTGTTTGAAATGCATTTGTCTTCACAAATTGATTTCATAGGATATTCAAGTCACAGATTATGAGCTACTCTAGGGGGTGATTTTGGGGCCAGATTGAGCCATGCATTGATCAGTGATGATGGTGATGAGAGTAGGAACATTTATTTACTTGGCTATCACAGTGATTAAGGATATGTGATGGAGCCTGGTGGCCTGGGTTCAGATCCCAACTCAGGGTTTGTTACCTGAGTGGACAGTTTGAACGAGACATTTGGTAACTCATTTTCCTTATCGGTAAAATGAAGATAATATGAATACTTTCCACATATGGTTATTATAAGTATTATGTCACATAAAATACTTAGAATTATGATAGATGCACAGTTAATATTGCTATTATTTGACAAATAACAATGCTAAATACGGAACTAGAGCTGGATTGGGAAACACAAATTTAAGTTTAAGAAATGCTCCTATGATGGTTATAAATGGTAAGACAGAAATGACAGCATAGTGAAGTAAGATGTAGGGTAAAACCTTTAAATTGTTCATTCACTCAGTCATGTCCGACTCTTTGTGACTGCATGGACTACAGCACGCCAGGTTTCCCTGACCTTCACCGTCAAACTCATGTCCATTGAGTCGGTGATGCCATCCAACCATCTCATCCTCTGTTGTCCCTTCTCCTCCTGCCTTCAATCTTTCCCAGCATCAGGTTCTTTTCTGAATTATACTTGTACTTTAAGACTCTCTGTGACAAAGATGGACTTAGACTGAATGCCTTCCTAGCTGGAAGTTTTTAAAGCAACTTTGATGCCCTAGGTGCCCCCTCTCTACCTGTCAGAATTCTAACCATTCTTT